AAGCTTTATAGCTGCAAGTAGTAGACCTTTCCTAGGCAATACTCGTTAGTGAACAATGTTTCATAAAGAGTAAAGATAAAAGAATAAAATTATGAGACATAAATTCGAAACAAAATTGACATAAGTTCTAAAAAATATAAAAATTTTATATAGGAAACATAAATAATGATTAGAAAAAGAATAAATGGATTAATAATAAAATAAATGATGATTAGCTATATGGGAAAAATAAAAGAATTAAATTATTATTATTTTGGATTTCTCTCTTTAGATCAACTACTCAGAACACGGTTTTGCGATAAGTAACTTCCTTGTTACGGATTTTTAATAAAACATTTTTGCCAGATTTTTTCTTGACCTCGTATGGACCCTTAAATTTAGGACTAAGTTTTTTTATTTAGATTTCCTCTTGCTAATTTTTGACTGATTTGAATCTTCTCTTTTTCATTAGACGATAGGTGAACTTTACTTAGTAAAAATAGCTTTACCTCAGGAATACTCTCTTCGTGAAAATCGGTTGACATAAGAATGGATGCTTTCTTCCTAGATTTCTTGGTACTGGAATTCCATTTCCGCTTTTTAGTATGCTTCCCAAAATTATGCTTGTGAATTTTTTTAGTAGCTCCTATATTTTTATTTGAAATTTTTGTTTCCTTTTGAATTTCAGCTTTAGGATGATTTTTAGGTTTTGAATTCTGTATGGATGATCTTTCTTCTTTTACTTTTAGACCTTTTTTCTTATTTTTATTTTTAGGAAGTAATGGTGCTTCTTTAGCCTTTTTCTTAGATAAATTTGTAGAGGGTGCTTCTTTAGCCTTTCTCTTAGATAAATTTGTAGAGGGTGCTTCTTTAGCCTTTCTCTTAGATAAATTTGTAGAGGGTGCTTCTTTAGCCTTTCTCTTAGATAAATTTGTAGAGGGTGCTTCTTTAGCCTTTTTCTTAGATAAATTTGTAGAGGGTGCTTTTTCCTCTTGAGCAGGAATTGATCCTGGTAAAGAATCTGTTTTCTCTTCAACTTCAAGTTTGGATTCTGGTAAAGGATCTGTTTTCTCTTCAACTTCAAGTTTGGATTCTGGTAAAGGATCTGTTTTCTCTTTAACTTCAAGTTTGGATTCTGGTAAAGGATCTGTTTTCTCTTTAACTTCAAGTTTGGATTCTGGTAAAGGATCTGTTTTCTCTTTAACTTCAAGTTTGGATTCTGTAACTTCTAAAATTTTAAGTTTTTCCATCAATTTTATTGTGTTATCTTCATAGTGGATACATGTTGATTTTTGTCTGCGATTAATCAATTCTTTTATCAGTTGACTATGGGGTTTCTTGTCTTGGTATAATTCTATTAATTTCGTTTTTACGTCATCCCAATTATCAAAATCGTACAAAGAAATTCGAATCTTGGCATTACCAGTGATTCTGGAGTAGATGAATCTGAAGAGTGGATACTTATTCTCTTCAGAGGACAATTCGATAGCATTATCACAATCAGAGATAAATGCATTAAGTTGGTTCCTTTCTCCGGAAAAGAAATTAGGAACTAGACTACACAAGAAATCAAGGGGTATTTGGGATGGGTTGAAAACAGGTTGATCAAGTTTAGGCATTGTTCACAAAATGAGTTACCTATTACTACTACTTACAATATAAAGAAATTCTGATAAAGAGTTAAAACCCACCAACATGAAACGAATTACTTAAGAATTCTCCGGTTTCTTGTCGTTCAGAATGATCCTTCATCGACTGCGCCAAAATTTTAATATGTTATATTCGGTTCGTTCTTTATTTTTGTAAGTAATGAACAAGCACTTAAAACTATCACAAAACTAATATTAATAAACAAGAACTTATTACAGCTAGACTAAAAATCAAATGAACCAACGCCAAGCTGTGTAGCTTGCCTATATTACTTTGGTCTTTCGTCAGTCAACTGTTTCGAATGTTCGAGCAAACACTTGCAAATAAAATAAAAGAAGGAGTCTTTAGAAGCTTCGCTTCTAAAGAAGAACAATTTGAGTTCGTCGCCAGTCTTTTGTTTATAAAAAGTTGAAAATGTGAATATTGAGTACGGGATCATAACAATATTTATATTCAGATTATAGAAAATCGACTCATTCTTTCATCATCATCATTATTATTATTATTATTATTATCATTTTAAATTGTTTCATGACGTTCGTGTAAGAAAAAAATTTCCTATTAAATCACTTAATAAAAATAATAATGATGTGAAATGTAAACTCCCCGTAATGGAAAAAATTTTTTTTTTTTTCGTTTTTCCAAAGTTGGCTACGCTGCGAAGGGTACGTAAAAACGCGCGCGTGTAATGAAAACAATTAAACATTGAAAGTATTCATACGGATTTACATGCGAGGATATTATTATTATTTTTTTTTTCAGATTATGTCAACTCGTCCTTCAATTACACTTAAAATATAAAGACAATATGGCGGACGGGAAGGAGTGGAAGTGTCAGGTGATCATCCTAGAACATAATTTTAAACGAATTAAATCCAACTCCAGTAAAAATTAAACGTTAGATGTGATTTGGATTTCGAACAATTTAAACCATAAGAAAAGTTTTTTTTATTTAGATATTTATTTATTTTATTAAAAATGGCATTAAAATTTTTATCGTTGAGTTTAATCGTTTTATTTTTATTATTTGTGAATACCGGTAGGTCAATTAAAAATCAATAAATTATTATCGATATGTTTTTTTTTTTTTTTAATGTGAAAATTTATTGTTTTAGTTTTTATAAATATTATAAGTGGATTTTTTTTTTTTTTTTTTTTGTATAAAAAAAATTTCGATTTTCACGTTTTAACATAAAATTGTTTAAGGATAGCAATGTCGTGATAAACAAAATCAAAATATTTTATTATTATTATTATTAATATGTGTTATTTTAATATTTTTTCCAGGACGTGGAACAAAATGTTGGGAATGTAATTCGGAAAGAGATTATAATTGCAGGGATCCATTTAATTTTACACATTTTCCATTAGTTGATTGTGACCGAAAATCTGCTCACAATACTTATCTACAATCATATTCAGTTTGTCGAAAAATCGTTCATAGAGGTAATTAAAATCCTTCTTCTTCTCCTTCTTTTCTCTTAATATGTATTATTATTATCATTATCATTATTATTGGGTCAGTCCTTTTTTAATTGCTTTGAATTATGATGAGTAATTTTATGGGTGTAACAGAACAAAATTTAAGGTCAAGTCAATAATAAACTTGCCCAACTTCATTTTTAATTAAAATAAACTTAATCTAAAAAAAGAAATGAAAAAAATTTTTATTATTATTATTATTTAATATGTAAAGCATGTAAGTTTTAAAAGATAAAAAAAAAAAAAAAATTTCTTAATATTTTTGTGTTGATTGTGAAATTTTTCATTATTATTTCTTGACAACAAAAAACAAAAAAGGGATTATTTGTGGATTTTGTTTTTGTTTTTTGTTTTTCCCTCCTCTTCCCCCCCTCCCCCCTTCCCTATTTAATAATGATTTTATTTGGAAGGGGATTTATTTGATGTTGTAACTTTATTTTAATTTTATATAAATTTGTTTAAGTTAATGGAGAAGCACATGTGGAAAGATCATGTGCCTGGGAACAAGCCTATGATAACAATCGTCCATGTTCTTCTGCAAGATCCACGTCTTATTCTACCGTAGAACATTGTTCGACATGCAATACAGATGCCTGTAATGATGGATTAGTAATTAAACCTGGATTTAGCTCTCTACCAATGACATTAATGGCTTATTTGGGTGCCAAATACATATGATTTACTTACATTCTTTAATAATAATAATAATAAAAAAGCTTTAAATATTTATTTTGATAACAATGTAACCTTAATTTCTTTTTTTTTTTTTTTTTTTGTAAAAAATGAATTTATTTTTTTTATCGTATGAGATTATATATATTATACATGTATATTTTGTGTATAGAAATCGAATCGAAAATATATATATATAGAAATCAAAAATTCCGTCCAAAATTGTAGTTGATTGTTATTTTTAAATTTGAATGTTTTATTTTATTTCAATTTAAAAAACAATTCTAGATAGAATTAACAAATTTTTATATATACATATATATGTATTGGAACGCTTAAATTTAAAAAAAAAATAAATTTTTTATGTATTCTTTTTTTTTTTTTTTTTTATGTTTTATAAATCGTTTGCATTTATTTAATAAATTAAATATTAATAACATCAAACAAATTAATAAATGAATTATTTGGATTTATAAAATAAATTGAAATCTGTAATGAATTAATTATAAAAAATATTTTTGTAAAAATTTAACCGCTTAAATTTTTGTACGTTTCGTAAGCGGACGAACCAAAAAAAAAAAAAAAAAACGTGGTAGCAGAAAAATATCTCATTTAATATTCTATTAACACTTGAAGCATTCAGTTGTTGGATTAAGAGTTTAGTACAATGTGGGGTTACCACTTTAAAATGAATCATAGTTCGTTAATTTTTTTTTATACATCCATATTTATCGTATTAACAATTCCAGAAGGTATTTATTTATATTAAAATTTTTTTGTAATTACGTATCGTGTAATTTATATTAATATTATTTTGTTAAAAGTTTTTAGTATTAAATGTTGGGTGTGTCGATCCGATGTCGATCCAAAATGTAAAGATCCTTTTGACAATTCATCGTTCCCGATAACGGATTGCAGACAAGAACCAGATTTGCCTCATCTTCCAGGTGTGAGACCCACGATGTGTCGTAAAATTAGGCAAAAAGTCAATGGAGAATGGAGATATTACCGAAGTTGTGCTTATTTAGGAGAACCCGGTATTGAAAATGATGAAAGATTTTGTTTAATGAGAACAGGTACATACAATATATTTATGGAATTTTGTACCTGCAACAGCAAGGATGGATGTAACACGGCTTCAGTTAAGCCAGTGAATTTTACTCTTATTTATTTATCTGTGTTTACATGTTTATTTGTTGTACTTCGCATATATTCCATTCGGTAATTGAATTGTTAAGAAATTGTGTATAAAAATTTTATTTAAATAGTGTATCAGGCAAGCTATATAATGGCTACATAAGTATTTTTTATATGTGAGAACATTTTTTTTTTTTATGTTTTTATATTTTTAATTTAATCAGAAGTTTTTAAATCGATACTTGTTTTCTCAAAATCCATAATTATCGTTAAAGAGTCATAAAATTGGTAATTTAAAAAAAAAAACAAAATAAAATTGAATATTTTCAATTTTATGTAGTTGTGTAATCAGCACTTTATAACAATAGTGATATTATTTAAACAGTACAAACTAGCTTGAGAACCTGCCAGATGTGCCTTATTGTTGATTCAATTTGTTAATAATCGATTCAATGAATGAATTTTGAAACATTCTTTTTACTTACTTTAAACTTAACTTTATTTATTAACTTTTAAGTTAAAGAAACAAGTGAAAATTATTTATTAATTTTCCATTTTGCTATGTATGTTTATAACTTTTTATTATTATTTCGCTTCATTTCAACAAACCGAATTTTTTTTTTTTTGAATAACGTAATTAATCGTTAATGATTTTATTTTTTAATGATAAATATGTTTATAGTATTTTTAGAAAATGATATTTTTGAGCTATTTTAATTTAATTTTTAATATTTAAAAAAAAAATTTGTCTGGTATAAATTTTACTTATGGATTAACTTAATCACAATAGCACACCGACTTAATAATGGAACAGACTTATTTATGGACTTGGTAATTTAAAAATTACATTCTGTATTTTTATTGAGATGAAATAATAATAATAATAATAATTTTATTATTACTATTTTTATACATTTAGAAAAAAAGGATATTAAGATATTTTGTATAGAATTAATCTTTTATAATTAATGTAGTTTAGAATTTATTAATGTTATTAAAACGATGAAACTATTCCGTCCCAATATGTATTTTGTTAATGAAATTATAAATGCAATTAAAACAATGTTTTATTTTTATTTATTATAAGTAGAATTAGTTAATATTTTTGCTTAAATTTAATTTTTTTTTAAAATATATTTTTATAAATTATTATTTTAAAACATTTAAGTTTTTTTTCCCTTATTAATAATTTTTAATATATTTTTACTGTAATAGTTAAATTTTATCAAGTTCATGTATAAATGATATTCTGTAATTTAAAAAAGAATTTTTTTTTTGCAGGTTGTGTAGAAAAAAATAATTTAATCGTATGAATTTTTTTATTTTGTTTTTTTTCAGGAAATGTGTGGAAGTTTCAAAATGCAGCAAAGAATATTATTAAGTTAATTAATTAGTAACTATTTACACGACAATCGTGGCATTAGTACAACGATTTAAACTCGATCTGTTGAGTAATTTAGCAGTCTTCGCTTGTAGAGTTTAATGTTAGATGGCAAATATAGTCCGTCAACTTTTACTGTGACCTTGTTCTCAACACAAAGAACTGAGCTTCACTTTACAGTAGCGACAAATTTTGATAGAACCAATGAATTCAATTTGGTTATAGTTGGTCGGTGTGTAGTTATGAAGAGAAAATTTAAATTAAATGATTTAAAAAATCAGTTGGCTGTGTGAAGATCGGTTTTTTTTATTGGACTAGTGACTGATTAGGTTTCTGCACATGCCAAAGTAACTTCATCTTATTCCAGGACGAAGGAGGAAAAGTTCATGGAAAAAAGAGATTATATCGAAAGAAAACACCATTATTTTATATGGGTGTTTGCTTATCCTGCTGTGAACCGCGTATAAAGAGCCTCCAATTATATAAGCCTAATTGCAATTGTACACTGGATTCACCGACTTATGGTTGTCGTCTGGACGAAAAAGAGAGAGAGAAAATTGACAAGACTGAAATACCATTACAAAAAGTTTGTTACATCAAAATGGCCAATACTATATCTAACATAAAAATGACCAATCCCATAAAAAATTTAGTTAGTAAAAAAAGAAAAAGATATGTGCAGGATGGTTACAATTTAGATTTGACATGTATCCTTTTATAGAATGACATTAAAATTATAATTTGATTTTAATTAGATTTTTTTTTAAAAAAAAAACAATTTGAAATTTCTATTTAAGCCAAATGATACTGGCTAAATTTCTTTGTTATTTAAATTAAAACTTTTAAAAAATTAATTTTTAAAATGTTTATGATTTATCAAGTTCGAAACCATGACAGATTTCTTGTGTTCAAGTTATAGAAATATTATTTTACTATTAAGTTGTTTAAAATCTTTTTTTTTTTTTAAACTGATATAAATTTATAAATTTAATACAAATTATTTTGTTTTTTAATTTGGTAAAATTCGATGACTTGAAAATGAAATGCCGATAAGATTTTATGTTTTACATAAAAGTTTCCGAGTAAATATGCTTAAAAAAATTATTTATATATCAAATCAATGTAATGTTAAAATATAATTTTTTCTTAATTATTTTGATAGATATTAAAGATAATCTTATAGCTATGGGTTTCCCAGCAGAAAAATTAGAAGGTGTATATAGAAATCACATTGATGATGTTGTAAAATTATTGGAATCAAAACATAAAGATCATTACAAAATATATAATTTGTAAGTTTTACTATTGTTTTTTACAACAACAACAACAACAATAATAATGATAATAATATCAATAGTTGACAAATTTCTTTGTTGTAATATTTTATTTCAAAAATATTTTGTATTTCTTTTGTGTTACAGTTTTATTTTTCTAAAAAAAAAAAAAAAAAAAAAAAAAACACGGGTGTTATAAAAAAGTTAGAAATGTGTATTATGAGTTGTGTATTTTTCACCATTTTATTTTGTTTTTTTTTTTTTTTTAACATAAATATTTAACTTTTAGATGTTCGGAAAGGAAATATGACATTCATAAATTTCAGTCCAGGGTTGCAAATTATCCTTTCGACGATCATAATCCTCCACAAATTGAATTAATCAGACCATTTTGTGCAGATGTACATGATTGGCTTAGTCAGGACAAAAAAAATGTTGCAGCTGTTCATTGCAAAGCTGGTAAAGGAAGAACTGGAGTTATGGTTTGTTGTTACATGCTACACAGTAAGCAATTTTTAAAAGCAGAAGATGCACTTAGTTATTATGGGCAAATGAGAACTCATGATAGAAAGGTGAGAAAAAATTTTTTAAAGATAATTTTTAAATAATTACTTATAAATTATTTTTATATATAAATTGAGTGTTTTCAATTTTCTTTTTAATTTATCAAATTATTTTTTTGTTTTTAGGGTGTAACCATTCCAAGTCAAAGGCGATATGTTGGATATTGTGCTGATCTCATAAGGGAGGAGCTTGAATATAAAGCGACAACAATAGTCATAAAAGAGATTAGGTTAGATCCTCTTCCTCTTGCTTTTAATGGAGGGCAAGGTTGCCTGCAGTTTGTGATCTCAAATTCAAAGGGAAAAATATACAGCTCCCCGATTCATGAAGTTAAAAAAGGTGCCACTCAAATGATACTACCTATACAGCGATACATCGCATTGACTGGAGATATTAAAGTAGAATTTTTTAATAAGCCCAAAATGAAAAGAAAAGAAAAAATGTTCCACTTTTGGTTTAATACCTTCTTTGTCAGGGAAGAAGTAGAGCACTTTGACACTTACATAATTAATGGCAATGAAGAAATTAATATGAACACGACAACAGTACAAAATTCTGAGAATAGAGCGAATAGAGCGTTAAGTTATGATGAGCAAAGTAAAACTCCGCAAATAAAAACGAGTAGGACCAATTCATTAACAACATCAAGCATTTTAAATTCCACTTCAATCAATGTAGGAACTGGAGGTAGCAGCCCCATTGGAACAATATCAACCGTTGCAGCAGCCACAATTCAAAGTTCAACACAATCACCAATTAACGATGGAACAAATAATGCTGTAACGATTAAAAACAATTCGGCTAATTCTTTATCATTGAATGCGAATGATAAAGCTTCTGGAAATATGGAAAAGGAAAAAATGATCTTATTAAGGCTTAATAAATCAGAACTCGATGATGCTCATAAAGATAAACAGAATAAACTTTATAGTCCTAATTTTCAAGTGAGTGTATTGTTATTATAAATATTTAGTTATTGATTGAATGCATTCAAATTCGCTCGTATTCTGATAGTTTTAAAATAAAAAAAAAAAAAATACACGTTAAATTAAGAATTAATTATCGATATTATTATTATTATTAAATTGTTTTTGCGGATGAAATGAGAAATTTTTTTTTTTTTTTTTGGTTTTAAATGATGAGTAAAAAAAATTATTGCTAAACAGGTGAGCTTGTATTTTCATAACGTGCCTGCAACTAGTTTGCCACGAACAATGGAAACCAGCTCAGCTCCTCAAACTCAGTTTCAAGACACTCCTAGTGAATCATCTGAAGCTGAATCGAGTGATTCGTCCACTGCTGAAGAAGAAGAAGAAGAGGAAGAAGATTGGGAATCTGGTGAGTTTTTATAATTGATTTTATTTTTCTATTACTTTCTTCCCCCACCTCCCCCCCCCCTATCTGTTTATCAGTGGCTTTGTTTTAAGTGGAGCATATTTAAATTTAAAAAAAAAAAGGGTTATCGTGATAATTCTTCTGCTTTACTATCAAATTTTTTTTTCTTCTTAATTATTAATTGCAAAGGAATCTATCGAAATAAAATTCCCCCCTCTTGATCTGTTGTACTGATGAAAATTTAAAGGAAAATGATAATAATAATAATAATGATTATGATTATACTAGTAATAATAATAATAATAATAATAATAATAATAATAATAATAATAATAATAATAATAATAATGTTGTGGAAAATTAATAAATAATGACATTCACTGTTGTTGTTGTTGTTGTTGTCGTTAACTGGTAATCTTTACCATCAATTTGAACTTTTAGATTTTCTTCGTACGTGTCGTAAAATGATAATAAAACATTTTTTTTAATTACCACGTGACTGTAAAAAAAATAATGATGAGGAAAAATTTAAATTTATTTCACGAACGTCATGATATATTTTAAAGAGCACAAAATCTACTTTAGAAAAATAAAATTTATTATTATTATTATTATTATTATTTCGATCGAAATTAAAATTAATTTTTTTTTTTAATTAATTAATGGCGGTGTGATATATTTATCATAATAATAATTATCGTTTAAAGTATAAGAGTTGGTTTTATTAACGTTAATAAAGGTATTCAAGTTAAGTTAAAGTTAAATGTATAATTATGTTCTGTCATGTCGTTGTTCTATGTTCAAACAGTGAATCAAGTAGTGTGGTAAGAAGGTACCATAAAACCAAAGTTGTTTTATTTTTATAAGTAATTAAATTTTAACCGTTTTTTTTTTCGAAAAGGATGATTGACAAAGAGGAATAGGAATGATATTATTATTATTATTATTATTATTATTATTATTATTATTTAAATGCCAAAAAAAAGGAATAAAATTTAATAGTTTTCTCTTATGTATTTATTTATGCGCACGCCGACAGTCGTGGAATCAGCGGAACGTCGCGTGGGACGCTATCGGATTTTATCAGAGTCAGAATTACCAAGTTCTGGACATTTATTTCCATCGTGATATCATCCACCAACCGTTTCCTCGATTATTTATATTTATTTATATTTTATTACATGTACAATTATTTCCGAAGCAATGCACGGGGGGGTGGGGCGTGGGGGTGGGCAATATACTTGCGAAAAACAAAACGAAACAAAACAACAAAACAAAACAATGTTTATTATTATTATTATTATTATTATTGATACGAACGGGTGGAAAGTAATTTTTCCAGTGAGCAGAAAAAAGAAAACTAAGAAAGAAAGGACAAAATTTGTATCATTTGTCTTTTGTTTGTTTGTTTTCTTCTTCTTCTTTCTCTCTCTCTCTCTCTTTCTTTCTCTCTCTCTCTCTCTCTCTGTCTCTCTCTCTCTCTCTCTCTCTCTCTCTTTCTTTCTCTCTCTCTCTTTCTTTCTCTCTCTCTCTTTCCTTCTCTCTCTCTCTCTCTTAAATTGCAACTCGAATTGATTTAAACAAAATGTCATACGTAAAAATTTTCCAGCATCGTTTTTTTTTTTATTATTTAAATTTTTTTTTTTTTACTAAGAAAAAGAGGAGAAGAAGAAAGATTGAAGAGAATGAATGAATGACTGAAAAAGTTGGGCAGGGGCGAGGGGGGGTTAAATTTTGCGTTTTCTGTCGATTGAAAAGAAGCGAGGGGAAGAGGGGGAAGGAAGGGTGGGGGGAAAATTTGGAAACGGTGATGATTGATTGATTGATTGATTATCGATTAAAAATATTTAAAAAAAAACGATAAAGGTAGAAGTAATGATTCTAATAATAATAATAATAATAATAATAATAATAATAATAATGATAAAATTATAATTTTTTTTTTTTTTTCGATTGTGTTCTAAATTTACATAGAATTGCTGCATTTATCTATTGAAAATAAAAAAAAATGTCGGTTGAATTTGATAATTAATTAATTAAATAAATAAATAAAAAATGATAAGGGGAGGGGGAGGGAAGGGGGGGGAACACAAAAATTTTTAGTGCATTTTAATGTAATTTCAACTTTATAATTTTTTTTTCTATTTATATATATAATTGAAAAATAAGAAAATAAGAAAAGAAAAGAAAAAAATTATTTTTAATAAATGTGTTGTGAGCACTTTCTCTCTCTCTCTCTCTCAAAAAACAAAATGGAACGAAGTACAAAATAAATACACAATTTTTATTATTTACGATTTCACACAAAATTTACGTTGAAAGAAAACATAAATATATATTTATATATAAAAAATAATGATAATAATGATAATGATGATGATGATAAATTTATAATGATATAATGTAATGTTAATGCATATACTTATATGTATGCTATTGATTGATTGATTGATTGATTTTAAAATGATAAATAAAAGTGTTTTTAATAGTACAAAAAAAAATAAGTAAATAGTTTTGACTGATTTTCTTAAAAAAAAAAAAAAATGTTATGATGATGATGATGATGATGGTGGTGATGGTGATGGTGATGGTGATGGTGATGATGATATTAATCCATTCGAACGCGTTAACTATGAATGAAGGGAAAAAAAAAAAAAAATTTCTGTCGTGCATTTGCCCCCCCCACCTCTCCCCTTTCCTCCCCCCACGCGAGTATTATTTAAAACTACATGAATATTTTTTACCGTTTGTTTAAACAAGAAAAACGTTTGTTTGGATTCCGTTTGTTGT